AAAAAAAAAAAAAAAAAAAAGGAACAGGCAGGCAGGGTATGGGGGCTCACACCTGTAATCCCAGCACATTGGGTGGCCAAGGCTGGTGGATTGTTTGAGGACAGGCATTTAAGAGCAGCATGGGCAACATGGCAAAATCACATCTCTACAAAAAATAGGAAAAGCAGCCAGGCATGCTGGCACATAGCTGTAATCCCAGCTACTCATGCAGGTGAGGTGGGAAGATCACTTGAGCCCAGCAGGTCAAAGCTCCACTAAGCTATGATTGTACCACTGCACGAAGCCTAGCTGACAGAGCGGGACCCTGTCTCAAAAAAATTAAAAATATTTCCTGCCAGCAGAGGTGCTATAAAAAATAAACATACTGGGCACATTGGCTCATGCCTGTAATCCTAGCCCTTTGGAAGGCCAAGGTGGGAGAATCCTAAGGGTCACGCGATCAAGACCAGCCTGGCCCACATGGTAAAACTTCGTCTCTACTAAAGATACAAAATGTTAGCTGGGTGCGGTAGCACATGCCAGTAATCCTAGCTACTAGGGAGGCTGAGGCAGGAGAATCGCTTGAACCTGAGAGACAGAGGTTGCAGGGAGCCGACACTGCGCCACTGCACTCCAGCCTGGGTGACAGGGGGAGGCTCTATCTCAAATAAATAAATAAATAATAAAACAAAAATAAACATACACCGGTTGGAAAAGAGGGTTTTCATTACAGCATCACTGGAATACAGGACATTTGTAAAGTACACACCTCTTGTCACATTGGAAGAAAACAAGCATTCCCCACAGGTGGTGAGTTAGGCCACTAAGTCACACCAGTGGTAAAATAAACTGCACTCAATAAAAACAGGAGTTTGAGGCCAGGCACAGTGGCTCATGCCTGTAATCCCAGCACTTTGGGAGGCTGATTGGGTGTATCATGCGGTCAGGAGTTCAAGATCAGCCTGGCCAACATGGTGAAACACCATCTCTACTAAAAATACAAAAATAAGTCGGGTGTGGTGGTGGGCGCCTGTAATCCCAGCTACTCAGGACGCTGAGGCAGGAGAATCCCTTGAACCTGGGAGGCGGAAATTGCAGTGAGCCTAGACAGCACCACTGCACTCCAGCCTGGACAACAGAACAAGACTCCGTCTCAAAAAAACAAAAACTCAGAGGAGTTTGAAAGTCCTTATCAGAGTTAAATGAAGTTGCATCTATTCTCCTGTTCAGCTCATGTCTGATTATGGTTTTTTTTTTTAAAGAAAAGGTCACAGTAAAAAAAAAAAAAAAAGAAAGAAAGAAAGAAAAAAGAAAAAAAGGTCACAGTAAGCAAGTTTTCAAAAAGTCTAAGGCTGCACATGTGTGCTGGCTGCACGTGTATGCTGGAACTCTGAGACTGTGTCTCAGCAGGCACAAAATAATAATTCCCAATCAAGTCCAGACCTACTTCCCAAAGACATTTTGAAGGTTTATAAGCTCTAAAGATAGGTCACACATAATCTTACCATTGCGAAAAACTTTATTAAAATCAAATCCCTGGCTTGCTAGAAAGTCAATGCTGGAGCTCTGAAACAGAGAAAACACAACACACGTTTTGGGTTGGTTACTGGCAGGAACATAAAGAGATGCAGAGAAGTAACTCAGGCAAAAAAAAAAAGATAATCAGGCCAGGAAGCAATGTACAAGAGTTCACAATACAAGGAATTTCTACTCCACAAACCATCCATTAGCTTGCTTAAAATATCCGGGCTCTTCTCCTTTATAGCTTACAGAACAAACACCCTTTATTTCACAATTTTTTTTTTTTTTTTTTGAGACGGAGTTTCACTCTCGTTACCCAGGCTGGAGTGCAATGGCACAATCTCGGCTCACCGCAACCTCCGCCTCCTGGGTTCAGGCAATTCTCCTGCCCCAGCCTCCTGAGTCGCTGGGATTACAGGCACACGCCACCATGCCCAGCTAATTTTTTGTATTTTTAGTAGAGACGGGGTTTCACCATGTTGACCAGGATGGTCTCGACATGTTGACCTCGTGATCCACCCGCCTCGGCCTCCCACAGTGCTGAGATTACAGGCTTGAGCCACCGCGCCCGGCCTCAAAATTTTTTTTTAATAGAGACAGGGTGTCCCTTTGTTGCCCATGCTGCTCTCAAACTCCTGGACTCAAGCGATCATCCTGGCTCAGCCTCCAAAAGTGATGGGATTACAGATGTGAGCCACTACAGCCAGCCTGCTTCATAATATTTTTTTTTAAATCCACTGAGTAGACCAGGTATGGTGGCAACACAGTGACATCCCATCTCCCGAAAAAATTTAAAAATTAACCAGGCATAAAAGCACATGCCTGCAGTCCCAGCTATCCGGGGGCTGAGGTAGGAGAATTGCTTGAGTATGGGAGGTCAGAAGGTTGAGGCTGTAGTGGGCTACCAATATGCCACTGCATTCCAGCCTGAGTGACAGAGTGAGAACTTGTCTCAAAAAAGATCAAAAAAGAAGTTCCCAATAATAAGCCTTACTAAACAAATGTATCTCAAACCTAGCCAAAATATGTTCCCAGAATTAAATAAAAATATTAGACTAAACTGTATGTGGTAGCTCACACCTGTAATCCCAGCACCTTGGGAGGCTGAGGTGGTTGGATCACTTGAGGCCAGGAGTTTGTGTGACCAGCTGGGCAACATGGCAAGACCTCAATTGAAAATAATAATGAAATTATTTTAAAATATGTATCTATTAGGCTGGGTGGGGTGGCTCACAGCTGTAATCCCAGCACTTTGGGAGATGAAGGTGGGAGGATCGCTTGAATCCAAGAGATCAAGACCAGCCTGGACAACAAAGGGAGACCTATCTCTATAAAAAATTTAAAAATTAGCCAGGTGTGGGGGTTCCCATCTGCAGTCCCAGCTACCCCAGAGGCTGAGGTGGGAAAATCAGAAAATAATTTGAGCCTAGGAGTTTAAGTCTGCAGTGAGCTGTGATCACATCACTGGACTCCAGCATGGGCAACAGAACAAGACTCTATTCAAAAAAAAAAACAGCACTGTATTAAGTAAACAATATTACAGATGAAACACAAGTATCAAGTATAGCAAAATTATGGAGTTCATACTAAAATGAACTTAAGAAATCAGCATTACTGGCCAGGTGAGGTAGCTTATGCCTGTAATCCCACCACTTTGGGAGGCGGAGGCAAGTGGATCATGAGGGTCAGGAGTTTAAGACCAGTCTGGTCAAAATGGTGAAACCCCGTCTCTACTAAAAATACAAAAAATCAACCCCGCGCGCGCCCGTCTCGGTCGTGGAGCGGCCTCCTGCGGTCTCCTCTACAAATGGGCTCCGTGGCCTAGCGCCCCCGTCCCCGCCACCCGTGATCGTGCGCCGAGGCCCGGAGGGGTTGCCGCCCAGGT